AACAACAACAAAAACGATTTTGGTTATTGATTTTGTACCACATCGCTATATATTTATTTGTTTAAGGGTGCAATATGAAAATTTTAATCTTATAGGGTGCTGTTTGTCCGAATCTTCTAGGATCGACGGGTGCTCTTTCTTTCGACGAAACCATTTAGGCGATTATGCTTATGGGGTTCAGTGCCTTGCTTTGTGGCTTTATTGGATGAAAAATAATTGGTAGACTTGATCAAGAGAGAAAGATAGGCATTATTCCATTGTATGTTTTCGGTGATTACGAAATACGGCATAAAGAAGTGTACATTGGGATTTGCAGATTTTTGAGATTGTTTATGGTAGTAAGGTATGTCATATTTTACACTAATTGTAGGCACAATATAATAAATAAATAAATAATTTAAATAATTATCCAAATTTAAAAGAAATGACATAAAAATATTCATACCAATTTTTTTTTTAAAATGACATGAAATATATCGTTGACTATATCCTCCATATTAATGAAACTGTTATAAAAATATATAAAAACTCTTTAAAACAACGCCATTTATACAAATGCATTTGAAAAAAAAGAACAAATATTAGCATAATCCATCGAAATTTATAATCTTTAAGCAATAAATAAAATATTGCTCGTTTATAAGACTCACGAATTTATCACCTCTACTACTATTACTCAATCCAATGTTACAATATAATTATAAACTCAACCACTATATTTCCAATCCATCCTATCCCCATGTAATAAATACCTCAAGTAAAAAAAAAAATAACAGAATACAATTTAATTTACAATCTTTAAGCGATAAATAAAATCAACTAAATTTTGCTCATTTATAAAACTAATGAATTTATCACCACTATTATCATCCAACTCCAAATGACACAATATAATTATAAATTGAATCACCAAATGTTTAATTATCTATTGTGAGACCTGGTGTCCCATATTGGTTAGGAAGGGAAAAGTTGTTGGGCTTATTAGTAAGCCCCTCTCTTTACATGATATAATGTCTTTTCCTAAGGATATTGGGAGGAACAAAGCCGTGAGGGCCAGTAGACCCAAAACGAACAATATTATGTCATGTGGAGGGTGGAGTGTTATGAGTTGGTATTAGAGTCGACTCTCGCCTGATCGAGTGTGGCCCCTGCCGTGCCCACGTGTAGTGTAATGGGCGGGCAGGTAGCTGGCAAGCTACTGCACGGGGACGTGCAGCCCTAAGGGGGGTGGATTGGGAGATCCTGATGTTCCACATCGGTTAGGGAGGGGAAAGTTGCTGGTCTTATTAGTAAACCTCTCTCCTTAGATGATAGAAGGTCTTTTCCCAGGGATACTGGGAGGAACAAAGTCATGAGGGTCAGTGGGCCCAAAGCGAACAATATTATGTCATGTGGAAGATGAGATGTTACATCTATATATACATATACATAGAAACACACTCACACATTTCTTTTTTAACTACCAACAAATCATCATAATCAATAACTGTTTTTATTAGAAATACAATAATTCAAGTTTTTAAGATAAAATAATAATAAATTAATATTTAATTAAAAATTAGGGTAAAAATCACGGACATCCCATGAGTTTTGAAAATATTACATGGACACCTCATGACATTTTATAATTAATATGGAGACCTTCTGAGGTTTGAATTCGTTACACGGAGACCCCTTCTATCTTCCATCTGTCAATGTTGCTAACAAAAACTGATAATTTCATCCCAAAAAATTTATTAGTTTTAAAATTTCCCTTCTCCAAATTTAGTACAAAAAAAAACTAAAACTTTAATAAAAACAAAATAAAAATTGATTTAGTATCCAAAAAATTGATATAATTTAGTATTCTAAAAAATTGATTAAATGAATTTCAATATTAATTTGGTAATAACAAAAATTAATTTGAAATTAATTCGATAAATTTGAATATAAAGTGGAAAAAATTAATGTTAATTTTTTATAAAATTATATATTAATTTATAATCTAAGATTCATTTTGTGTTACATAACATGTAGTTTTATATATTTTACAGAGTAAATAATAACAAAAATAACACAAGGAAAAAAAATAATAGTATGAGAGAGCATGGGCGGAGGGAGGTAGGGGCAGGGTGGGCACGTGCCCCCCCTCAAATTTTTTTTTTTAATTATTTAGATATATGTATTATATATTTATACATATATATTATGTGTGCCCCCTCATTTATATTAAGCCCACATTATTTATCCAAAATAATTAAACAATTAAGTCCATTTAAAACCAAAAAAAATTGAACTCACTATTATCTATCCAAACTTACTAAAAAAATCAAATATTTAACCTATCATAATCCACTCAAACCTCTTAAAAAAAACTTTTAACCCAATATTAAAAACAAAATTTTTGGCCCACCATCATTAAAAAACAAAACTTTTGGCCCACTTGACTAAAACATATTTTTTTTTTTGTTTTTATCTGTATCACTCACTTCCAGCTGCCCACTGCCCAGCCACAAAAAAAAGAGAAGAAACAGAGAAAAACTCAACACATGAGAAGCTCAGTTCTTTGAGTTTTTTTGTCCTTTATTGCACCAACCTATAAAATTATTTTATACATTATATTTACCCCCTAAATTTTTAAAAATTTTAATAATGGTTCTAGTCTTTTTTTTTTAATAAATTAGTGGACCACTAATCCTCTAAAATAAATATGTTAGTTTTGAATTGAGTCAATGTTTTATTTGTATATTAACGAAAATATAATATTTCTCTTTATCTAACACAATGTTCATTACTTTTTAAGAATAATTTTTAGTTTTCATTTACCATTTTTTTAGTAATAGTAGTCTATAACCTAATAAAAAAACGAAAATTAATTTATATTTAATTCATATACAAAAAATTTTATATTTTATTGAAATATATAATTAGGTTAAAATGTATTAAAAAATTATTTTGCGTCTTTTTGTTAAGATTTTGTTTCGGCTAAATAAAAATTGAATTTATTATTTCACAATAATTTACTGTTGATTCTTTTTTTTTTTATTCTTTAATTGAATTTTTTTGTATTAATTTTGGCATAATATTTTTTTATATCAGTTATATTTTGCCTCTATCATAGATATTCATGGCTCCGCTCCTTGCAATATACATTTTTTAAAAAAAAATTTTTATGTTAAATGGACTTCATATATCAAAAATAATATAATAAATATAAATATGTTATATAGTGTGATTGGTTAGAAGGAAAAAAATTAGAGTACATAATTAAAATATCCACTCTAAGCAAAATTTCTAGCTCCGCCCCTGTGAGAGAGAGACTATAAAATAGATAGATAAATAAAAAGAATTATATGAAAGATAAGAGTCTTAGTGTTGTTTGTGAGTATGATTATGTGTATGACTGTTCCATATGGATTCATTTAAGTCCAGCCTCGGCATTTTGGCTTGTATTCTTGTTTGTTCCACAGAAATCACCGAGAAGTTTTGCAATGGCAATTGGTGTCGAAATGGACAATCCTGCAGGCGATAAGACCTAGAGACTGTCGTATTCATTGTTGTATATAGTCCTTGCTTAAGGGCTAAAGTCTTCTTCAATTTCCTACCCTCACATTCTAGGAAACCTACCAAGTCTTTCCTTAAACAAAATGAACTAAATTGTCACATCGACCAAATCGTCACTTTACCCTTATGAATTGACGACATCCATGTGAGACAATAATGTATTCTTATTTTCCCTATCTAAGAGGTTGGAGACAAAACCATAACAAGTGTCCAATGATTATGACAGTTAATGGAGGTGAATTTTACGAGATTAAATCAAATTGTTGAGTCCCTCTCTTTTTTAAATAAGTTAAAAAAATTATTCCAAGTTCGTTTAAAAAATAAATCGAACTCGACTCAAACATGAGTAATTCAACCATTTTAGGTATAAGCGATCCGAGCTTTGCGACCTCAAGTTGAAGAAAAACTAAGTGTAAAAAATGTTTAAGTTCAATTTATTTAGAATACGAGTCGAGCTGAATTCGAACAAATCGGCTCAATTATCAGCCTTGTGGCCTTACCAATCATTATTTTGTATTTGAGTCACAGAACAGTCATGTCTCTTAGATTAATGCATATTCCTTTATGCTGGGTCATCGACTACCCATTGTTGCCGGCAAGTTAAACCAATCTTGTTTTAAAATCAATTTCAGGAATATGTTTTTTCTTTCTTTGGCAACTTGAACCTTATTTAAAGCATTACCCATCAAGCCAGTTTTTGAGGACAAACATGTCTTTTTTCACCACAACATCTATTCTCCGATTCTAGGGTAAAAAAATTGGATTAAGTTACATCATCTCCTATTCTACATTCTATTTTAAAGAGAAATTTTTTTTTTTTGAAACAGAAAGGATATTTGATAAAATTTTAAGTAGCAAGTGAAATATTTTAGACAACTTCAATATGCTCTCTATTCTAATAAAAAATTTAAAAGTGCAATTTTATTTCGGGCCACGTTTCTATATTTTTATTGAATTGAGGATGTAATATAATTACTCCAAAATATAAATTAAGAATACAAATATCTGTCATCCATCTTCAATCTTAATAACTAATGTTGGATTATAAAGTTTTTTGAATTGGTTTTAACTTAATTATATTAAAATCCTAATTTGATTTGATTGGATCGTAACTATTAATACATAACCACAAAAAGACCAAACATTTCATATCAAATAAAATTAGATGTCCAAGGAAACTTGGTGTTTAAAATTTGAAACAGAAAAATATTATTTGGACCTAATTTAGGGATTTAATGATGTACAACCATTAGATTGGTTGTGGACTCCGTCTAATATTAGAACTCACAACTAATTCAATGGTTATATTAAAACCACGTCATTAAGTTCTCAAACGAAATCCCTATAACATTGTTATGTGAAATAATATGCTTAGTAAATGACAAAAACTAGGGACTATAAATAGAGAGGTTAGCGGCGAAGGTATCCAAGGAAGGTAGCAAAAAGTTTTTCAAAAAATGTCTGTCGCTCAGAATGATATTCCTTCTGGATCAAAACTGCCACTCATTACAGTGGTGGCTAGAGTTGTGACTTTTGTTTCTGCTCTAGTATCAGCTGTGGTCATGAAGACTAACAACTCTACCACCGATAAATACTCGCTTCGCTATAAAGATGTACACTCTTATCGGTAAACATCTTTCTCTCATACACAAAAAAAACATTCGTCTTATTTTAACTCTCGCCTAAACGAGGCTTGAATCTTGGAAAGCCATCCTAGAAACCTCAACAAGGCCCTTTCTTTTGTATCATGAATACCGAGTGAAGAGAGTCAATTTAGAGTATAAATTTATTGTTTATTAGTCGTTATTAGTTAGTTATTAAATGAGATTTTAGGGGAAAAAAATTCTTCACTTCATTTCATAGTAGCAATCTCTCTCTCTATTTATTTGTTGATCTTCTCATCGGCAGGTATGCTCTGTTTACTATGGTGGTGGGATTCGCCTATAGTTTATTGCTCACTCCCTTTGCAATATACTATCTGAGAAAAGGGAAACTCCTAATAAACCAATACGTCTTTCTCCAGTTTCAGCTCTTTGGTGACCAGGTTATGATCAGCCATCCTGCTATTTTTTTAACCCCCGCCCCACCACCTCCCTCTCTTCTCTATATATTATGTATGTGTTTGTGTGCATGCTATATATTTTGGACGAATGTGAGTAATTGTAGATGTTAGACCATTAACTTTTTCTTTCCACATACAGTTTTTAAATGGATCCTACACTCACACCACCTGACATTTGTTTTTATTACACTGATATCTCCTTACATTTTAACAATTACACTGAGACCCCAATAATTAGAAGAAGTTAACTATCTTAATAAAAAAACTATTTTGCCCCTCTTTAACACAAACACAAACTCAAACTCAAACTCAAACTCACACCCAAAACCCTAAGGCTTAAAGCCCTAACCCGAATCCTAATCTTCGTCGTCCTATGCACCACAAAGAACTAATCTGAAATCATCAGACTTCCCTCTGTTTCCCGCCCCCTCCTTGCAACACTCCATTGCACCCAACCCTCCCACCTCAGCCGCCACCACCACCATCAGTCCAAACCCACTACTCCCAACCCCCTTTCTCTCTCTCTCTCTTAGGCCCCCTCCCTACAACAAAACTCAGATCTGAAGACTCTAATATATATATTGCTCTCTCTAGATCTGTAAAACCCGCATGATTGGCAGTAGGTTTTGGATGATAGCGACTGTGGTGTTGATGGTGGGTTTTGTGTGGTGGAACTGGTGGGTTTTGGATGTTGGAACTAATGGTGTTGATGGTGGCTTTTCGAATGGTGGAGACGGTAGTATCTCTCTCTCAAGTGGTGGTTGAGAGGTTGGAGGGTGGTAGCGGTTTGTGGAAGTCTGTGATGGGTGGGTGATGGTGCAAAATGATGGACTTAATTCACGGTATCTTAATTTAGAGACATAATTAGGGAAAAAATTAGCTAATTAATTGCTTAATTAGTGGTGTCATACTTTGGAAATAATAGATTATATTTGATTTCAATATGTGTTAAGATAAGCTTAGTTAATACAAATCTATTATATTGAGTAACTTAATTATTTTTTAAATCATAATTATTATGAGAATTGGTGGGTTTGAATTATAAGTGTAAACTTTTTTGGATAGATAACTATTAGTATAATTAGGAAATTAAAATTTAAGTGTAAAATAAATGAGGGATAAATTTATAGTATAAGAAAAACATATATTGAAATTCTCAAATTTAATTTTAGAGGGTATTTTTGGTATTCAAAAAATTATTATTGATTACACCATCTTTAACTATTAACTGTTCTAACGTTTGTTAATTGGAGGGGATGTGACTATTACAAGTTATAAATGTTAAAAGAGGTCGGTGTTATTTTTAAAATGTGAAGAGTGTGTGTGTAATAAAATCAAATGTCATTGAGCGTGAGTGATATTTACCTTTTTTTATTATTATTTTATCTTTTCAATCAATGGTTAGAAATTACCTAAATCAAAATCTATGATTTTCATCAATTTCGGTACGATAACAATGTTAGTACTATAACCATATCCCATCAGAAAAAGTTAATAGGACAGAATGACATATCACTCCATATTGATTTGGTAAGAAAAATTTAATAAAAGCAGCAGTGTTTTATCCATTTTTAAAAGAACTAGCGATAGATTTCATGTGAACGGACATTAACTTGTAGTACACTAGTGTATAATACCGTACATTAGAACTAAAATGTGTACGTTTTAAAACTCTAAATTAAGCCATACTCTAAGGGCTGTTTGGTAAAAAGATATAGGACGTCTCACAAGATAAGTTTGAGATAAATAGTCTAAAAGACCCCAAAACTCCATGTTTGGATTACAAATTCAATATTTGGTTTTTAAACTCCGCTCATAGTTGGCTCAAATGTTAAACTCATAATCATGGATTTGGTCAAATTTAAGGAGGGAGTGAGTTTGAGAAAATGGGTTAAGGATGCAAAATATAATTGTACAATTAACATGAGTATGAATTGGATTGATCAAGGAGCAAAAATAGTCATTTATATGATAAATAATTATTAATAATTATGGTATATCTGTGGGACTAACATGTATATGTGTTGCATATCAAATATGAGTATATATTATATTCAATGTTAAATCTCATGTTTGTAAAGTGGTGTTTGAGTTTGAAAGAGTTTGAAAAAGTCAATTCAAACTTTCCCAAAAATTTCATCCAAACAAAGCACTAAGGGTCTCTTTGTTTTGTGGGTTTGGGGGGGATTGGTATTCAAGGTTTGGAAAAAATAATCCAAGCGACCCCCCACTCTCCGTGCTTGGGCTAAAGTTTTAATTTTGGGTTACCAAATTTAGCCCGTAGCTAGTCCGGATACTAAATTCGTAATCATGGGTTTCGTCTAACCTAGGGATGTGGGTTTCGGGTTAACGGGTTAAAAATGTAAAAGACAATTGTACCTTTTAACATGTGTATGAATAGAATTGATTAAGGGGTAAAATAGTCATTTATAAGACAAATAATTGTTAATAATTGTAATATAACCGTGAGTCCTACATGTATATGTGTTGCATACCAAACATAAGTATAAAACTGAATTCAATGTTGAATCTCATTTTTGTAAAAAAGAGTTTAGGTTTGAAAGGATTTATGAAGGCAATCCAAACTTTTTCAAAAAATCTATCCAAACAAGCCCCAAGTTTCTGCAACTGATCACTCATGGGGACGGAATCAATGGGGGTCACTAGTATAACCATTATGCATAATAGTCTTGCGAGTCCCAAATCAATAGCATTGAAAATATGTTTTGCAAGGCTTTACATTGAAAGTTAATGTTGCAAACACGTTTTTTCTTTGATTGGCAAATAAAAGTGAGTTTGTGGAATTGCTTTCAAAGTGAGCACATGAAAAGAAATCCCACATCGACAACTAAAAACGAAGTTCACAACTCCAGTGTATCTTTTTTTCTGCTTACTGGGGTTTGCTTATATTGATAAAATGAAATAAAAATACATGTCAAATTTGATAAATTCAATGGAATGTATACGATCAGGTTAATTCAATTATATTAGCAACCGGGGTTGGCGCAACATTTGGAGCTACTTCGGATATTAGTAGGGCTTTTTCTGGAGAAAAGTTTGGCGATTTCTTCAGCATGGCCTATTTGTCTGCTGGTTTCCTTCTCATTGCAACATTAACCTCTGGAGTTTCTTCTGTCACTTCTTCATTGACCCTTTCTAAGAGAGGATAATGGAGAATAAACAAAAACATGTTATCCCTTAATTTTGGCCGTCAGGTTTGTACTTTTTATTTGTCTGAATTGTGAGGATGTAATATATTTTTGCAAAATGTAATCAGGCTCCATAAAGTATGTGATAGTCCCAAACGTAATGCAAGCAGTGACAAAATGTCGTTAGACTGTTGATTACGTGCACTCGGAGATAAAACAAATATGACGACTCGACGATTTGATCGAAAGTTTTTATGAGTATTTTTTTTTTAGATGATGTCTTCTATGATAAAAAAAAAATGTATTTATAGACTTCCAATGGTTACCAATACAACCATTCAAATAGGAGACATAACATTTGACAAAGATTGTGTCTGTTGTCAATCCAAACCACCACCAACCTCCTGTAGCTGTTACTTATTGTAACGCCATCAACCGCTTCCTCTCCTACCTGTACATGGGAAAGCACCACCAATTAATGTCCATGAGTTCACCAACTTACAGCTCCCACTTGAACATACATGGACATGACTCGAGTTTTCCAAATTGGTGTTTGTCTTTGGTACCAAAACTTTTATTTTCACCAATTTTTTATCCGTGACCATTTACAGATTGACATCAGAACATGGCAATAGACTTAAGTGCGCACGCTTTTGTCGTCGAGTCTGGCCGCACCCTTCCACATATGTTATTTTTGTCGATAGCATACTCTAGGTGACTTCGATTCACTCTATAAATAAGTGATAGGTATCAAAGCTCCATACTAGGGATCATAAAGTCCACACCCTCAGTATCATTGACGACTTTAGCTACACACAAATTTAATCAATGTGTTGACCTGCGTCCAAAATTTCGATCAAGTACTACCTCTAAAGCCCATGTAGAGGCTTTCCTCAATATACCTTATCGATGACTTAATACACCATGCACCTTAGGGGACTATGTAGAGGTCTCATGGTGCCTCAAACTGGACTTTACACTCATGAGCATGCGATAGCCCTGGAATGCATGCTGGTGTCCTCTATTTTTTATCTCACCAATTCATATCCCCAATCAGGTAGAGTCGCATCTTTCTATAAATTTTAGGCGTCCCCAAAATTTCTCTAAAGATGCCCTTCACTATGTAATAATGCAATACCTAAGTGCTTCTTAAACCCATTGCAGTTACATGCTCTCTGAATTTTTTCAGAGTCAATCCCTTGGTCATAGGGTTTGCCATCATCTCTCCCGAGAGTATATAGTCGACTTTTATTTCAATCCTTTCCACTATATCTTGAATATAGTAGTAATTTACATCAATGTGTTTTCCCTTAGAGCTATTAACTCCATTTTTTATTAAAGAGATAGCGAACTTATTGTCACAAAACACGTTGACTGACCTACTAGGTATACCCAACTTTAAACTATCAACAAAGCGTGTAATCCAAACAACATTACTTACCGTTGTACTGCACGCTATGTATTCGATCTCCATTGTGTACTTTGCAACACAACCTTGCTTCTTACTTAGCCAAGAAACAATCGTTCCACCAAATAAGAATATATGACCACTTGTAGATTTTTTGTCATCTACATCACCTGCAAAGTCTGTATCCGTATAGCCAATAATTTCTAGATTATTTAATCCAAAACACAATTTCATACCTGTCGTGCCTCTTAAGTATCTAAATATTCTCTTCACTGCCTGCCAATGTACCTTTCCTTGATTGGATTGATATCTACTTGCTAATCCCACTGCATGACAAATGTCAGGCCTTGTACTTGTCAAAGCACACATGAGAATACCCACACCTTGGGCGTAGAGGACCTTACTCATTTCAAATATTTTCTCATTTGAACTAGGGCACATACCTTTACTTAGACTTTGACCCATGCAGACATGAGTGCTCAACGGCTTATTATTATTCATACCGAATCTCTTGAGCACCTTTTTCAGATACTTTTCTTGATCCAAATATAAGAGTCTAGAATTACTATTTTTAGAGATTCTAATTCCCAGGACATAATTAGTCTCACCCATGTCCTTCATTTCAAATTTGGATCCCAGGTACGCTTTGGTTTCTTTGATCATATTTGAAAAATTTCCTACCAATAAAATATCATCTATATAGAGTGACAAAATTGTTAGTTTATCAAGCCATGTCCAAATATATACACAATGGTCTAAAACACTAACTTCAAATCCTATTTCAAGGATTACCTGGTGGAACTTTAAATACCATTGTCTAGAGGATTGTTTGAGTTCATATAGAGACCTTTTCAATTTATAGACTTTGTGTTCGTGTCTTTTAACTTGAAAACCATCAGGTTGAACCATATAGATGTTTTCTTTTAATTCTCCATTAAGGAAGGCCGTTTTTGCATCTAACTGATGTAACTCAAGATCCATCTTATCTACAACTAATATTAGTATCCTGATTGAAGTAAACTTAGCAACATGAGAATATCTACAAAGTCTATTCCAGGTTGTTGAGTAAATCTTTTAGCAACCAATCTTGCTTTATACTTATCTAGAGACCCATCTACTTTCAATATCTTTTTAAGGACCCATTTGCAACCAATGACTTTCCTCTCTTTGGGATGATCTACTAAATCCCATATATCCTTTTTGTTAATTGAATCAAGCTCTTCTTTCATAGCTTGAAGCCATTAATCTGCATTACTACTATTGACTGCCTTCATAAAGTCCTTAGGATCATCTTCTAATATTGTGTTTTCATCTAGATTAAAAACTAAATGATCCTTTAATTTTTGTGATGGTACCCTCTTCCTTTTGCTCCCACTTTTCTCAGCCTGTTCACCTTGGTCATCTATCATTTCCTAATTAATAATGTTATCAATAGGACTCGTAATATCATCATCTAACAATTAGACCTGATCAATGAGAGTTATTTGATTGGTAGACTCAATGAAAACAACATCCTTACTTTCAATCAACCCTTTATCCAAATGGAAGAATCTATATCTACTTCCATTCTCAACATATCCTATGAACTTACATTCCCACATCTTTGTTCCTAACTTATTCCTGAGAGGCTTCAGAATAAGTACATGTGTCTTACACCCCCAAACCTTAAAATTAGATATGCCAGGTTTTGTTCTAGTCCAATATTTTTAAGGAGTTTGTGGTTTAGCCTTCGTCTTGACTCTATTTAAAATATAAGTTGAAGTAGACAAGGCTTCTCCCCAAAAATGGACGGGGAGATCAGCATAAGCCATCATTGACCTTGTCATATCCACTAGAGTTCTATTACTTCTTTCTGCAATGTCATTTTGTTTAGGTGTGTATGACATGGTATATAAATGTCGTATGCCATTCTCTTTACAAAATTTAGCAAAAGCTTCATATCCACCACCCCCTATCATTATTCAAGGCTTTAATTGGTCTAGCCAACTATGTTTTTACTTCCTTTTTATATTCTTTGAATCTATCAAGTGCATCAGACTTATGTTTGACTAAGTAGATATGACCAAACCTTGAATAATCATCAGTAAATGTTACAAAATATTTCATTCCTCTATGAGATTTTGTTCTTAAAGGTCCACATATGTCCGAATGGATAACCCTCCAATAAATCCAAAGACTTCCAATTTTTGTTAAAAGATTTTCTAGTCATTTTTCCTTTAATGCTTGACTCACAAATATCAAAGTCTATTATATTCATTTGAGGTGTAAGGCCCAATCTACTCACTCTGAGCACCTTGTCCTTATTGATGTGACCTAATCTTAAATGCCATAGATAGGAATTATTTTCACTAGTTGAAATATTCATTTACTCAGAATAAGAAATTTAATGTGGATAAGGTACATATCATCAACCTTTGAACCCTTTACAATGACATCATCATCCTTTCGGATGTAAACAAATCTTTACTTGAACCGTACATCATAACCCTTTTTATCCAATATAGACATCGATATAAGGTTCCTTCTAACATTGGGTGCATACAACACATTCTTAAGAATCAAGACTGATATTTCACACTTCACTTTGCAAGTTCCTTCTCCTAGGACATCACAATATGTATTGTTTCCCATGTAAATGTGATGCACACTTGGTGCCTTTTCATTGATTTCTGAGAAGCTCCCTTTGTCCCTTGCAATGTGTCTAGTTGTACCAGAGTTGATCCACCATTGTTCTTTTGAATCTTCAAGTAGCATCACCTCAGAAATAGTCATAACTGCCTCGTTTTATTTGCCTTTTTGCTTGTTCATTCACTTTGCTTTGAAATGCCCTTTTTGTCTACAAGAGAAACATGCCCCTTTGCTTTTTTTTGTTGAACTTTCTGAATTTGAACCGTTGCTTTCCATTTTTCTTCCAATTTCTTTGTTTCTTGTGTTGCACTTCCGATTTTGATCCAGATGCCTCGGCGATCAACAATTTTCCACTATCAGTCTCTTTTCTCTTTCTATTCTTTCGTTCCTCCTCAAGTGCCAATAATGTTGGTAATGTGATCATAGTTAAGTCTTTTCCTCCATAGCTCAAAGAAGTAACCACATGATTCCATGAATCTGGTAGGCTATTAAGAATAATGGTCACTTGCATCTTATCAGTAAGTGAAAGTCCAGCAGTTGATAAATCCATTGCAAGTAATTCCATTTGAAGTACATAATCCACCACTTTATTGCAATTGTATATGCGTATAAGATACAGGACCATACTTCGTCTCGAGTGCATCCATAATTTCCTTCGCAGTTTTAAAATCTTCGTAAAAGGGAATTAAATCATCTTGCATGCTAAAAATAATTAAGGCTCAGGGTAGATCATTATCTTCCTCCCACCAACTTATTTGTTTAGCTATTGTGGGATCTATAACATTTTTTTGGGGCTTGGTTGTATTGACTGTGTAATATGTTTTCTCATGTGTGAGTACGTAAGTGATTTTACGCTTTCAAATACAATAACTTATACCGTTCAATTTTTCTACCTTAAAAATATCCACACCTCTTTTACTAGCCTTGAGAAAATTTAATAATACTACCAAGTGTTATAACTGTGAGGAATGTTTAATGCAACACT